CAAGGCGCTCAGTCCGTACACACACACACACACACTGTAGAGTCAGTAGCCACTTTATACACCCAGCTAAAACTAATACATCCTAATATCATGTCCAACCCATTCAAATCAACGAGGGTAGAGTGAAAGATAGAAACACATCTCAGTATAATGCGACACAATTCAACCTGCACCACAATCTGCAGAGTCCAAAATGATTACAGAGTTCAATCAACATGCTCTCTAAAACAATCCAATCAACAACATTATGACCTTACGCCGGTAGGTTTGATTGCAGAACTGTTTTGGTTGCATCTAAACTGGCAACTGAGTATCTATAAGCCAGGGTCATGCTGAAGATAGCGGACATGAAATCTATGTTTCAAAACGTTATTTTGCACCCTTTACTTATATTTGTATTTTATAGTATAATATATGTGATGAAGGAAAAATAAAATGACTATTGTGAATTAAATGAATGACGTGATCTTTTTTTTGTATGTATTTCATCTATTTATGTGTTTTAATTTATCCATTCTACTTTCTTGTTTGTGTCCAGCCCCTGTGGCCCTTGGCTGAACTCTACAGACACCTTGGCCCTGTCAGCCATCAGGGCAAAACATATGGTGCCCTGATACAGAACTTTGCTCCATTCACCTTTTATTGAATCATATGCTTCAGTAAATGGTGATCAGAAATAAGGTATTCACATAATGTACAATATGTCTGGTATACCTTTCATTAAACCAGTGTTATTGTGGTTAACTCAAGGGTGGCACAAAGAGATCTACAGTATGTTGGTTGTGTGTGAAGTCATTTGGCTGCATGAACCCAAATGCCCCAAAACAATCCAATAATTTAAATTCAAATGTTCTGTATTGTATCATGTCTACTCTGGATGTGAGTGCAGTCTGACAGCTTCACTTGTCACTCTGCTGATAACACACTGTTTGGCTGCCCTGCAAGGTTCTGATCAGCATTATCACGATTATGATTAAGTTCATTTCAGTTCAAACTCTTATCATTTAACATAGGCAACCACTGCAGATCATCTGATATACAGATTGTGTTTGAGCGCTGAATGATGGGACGTTACCATCAGATACAGAAACATGTACTTACCGTCTCATACTCTCACACAGGGGTATTACTTTAATCGTCAGCACTCTGGGTCTGTTCTGGAAGAGAAGGGATTTCTTCCTTTTTTTTCTTATAAAACTGTTCTTTAAGGGAGTTTTTCTCATCAGATAGTCTGAGGATAGATAGCAACGTCATATGCTATACATATTGTAAAGTCCTTTGAGGAATATTTGTGATTTTAGGTTTTTAGGTTTGCAATTATGGGCTGTAGGGCTTTTTTTAATCTATTTGACTACTATATATCCACAACATCAGAATTCTTTATCTTTCCTATATAACTGCTGCTGGAGCTTGAGATTTACCTCAAGGAGACGCACCCTCTGTCCTTGGACCCTCTTTCAGAATAAATCTCCTCCTAATATGCTGATCACCCTTCACACATTAGCACTGCTGCAGAGAAGAGGGGAGTGAAGGATTCATTTTGTGTAAATGTTGCCATGCCTCACAGGGATTACAATAATTGTTTGTGAACTGTGATTTAGGTCATCACCTCCAAAAAAATCCAACAAAACAATCTAAGTTAATGTTACAGTAAGAGCTCTTGTTTTCATATTTTGCATATCTAAATGATATCATACTATTGCAATGTGTTTTACTGTTACTCATCAAATTCCTTGTGTATTTGTTGTGTAGCAATACTGTTTATAAGCAATAAAGAGCTTCTCATTCTGATTTGCTTACTAATCTTGTAATACTATTGTTTGTCCACTAGGGAGCAGAACAGAACGCTTATAGAAGCAGAGTCCTCCCAAACTGAGTTCTCTAAATGTAAAAAAAAAAAGATTCAAAGTTATTGAGCCCCTCTATTCTCCAAGTATTGCTCATTTATTTTATCGGTGTTGCTCCCAATGCGTAATATTCCCAGTTTAATTCAGTTTTATTCCTTATAGACAAACAGAAAATATTTATTTATTCATTCATCAATTCAGCAGGTTTATGATGAATTAGCAGTTCCCCCCAAATTAAGACATCAGAACATTTGCTTTGTGTGTTTTATTGCCTATGCACAATCCAAAGTCCCTGTGCTTTCTCATCTTTGCCCATTTTTTTCCCATCTGTCTCTTTGTTTGCAGTCCCCTGGCCCATTCTCCCTCCCAGCTCTCTCAGCAGCATTTGACTTCTCCCAAAATATGCAATTCTTAGCATCCCCACTCTCCTGTCTCTTTTGTTATGTCACAAACACACACACACACACACACACACACACACACACACACACACACACACACACATGGGTACCACAGGAGAGTACTGTCATGCTCTGTAGATTGGGTGTCCCAGGGTGATTAATTATTGATAGCAGAGGTCAGGTAACACACCTGATATCTGGGGACAGGGAGAAAGGAAGGGAGGGGGCAGAGAAAAAGAGAATATAGGAAGAAGGGGGGACATTGAGAAATAGTGTAATTGGGCAAAGTGGGAAAGAAACACTTGGTGAGAGAGAGTAAAGGCCCGTGCCAGTTAACAGACAAATGGCAAGTGAGTCAAATCTACAGGCCCTTTTTGGATTGGAGGACTGGGCGGATGCTCAGGCCCTGTAGCCAATAGCAGAGTGGCATATTGTGATGAGTCAGGACATAGCTGAGGAAATAAGATGCCTAGAGCCATGAATGTATCGAAAGAGATGAACAGTGTGTATGGGTGTTTGTGTGTGTGTGTGTGTGTGTGTGGATGACTGATGAGTAAACAAATGAATCACTGTTAGACTACAAACATCCACTTGTGTTAAACAACACACTTCATCGTTCTTCTCTCCAACCCCCATCGCCAAAGTTATCCAAATGTGCATTCCGTTTCGAAGATTTGTTTGCACATGCGTGTGTTTACCATGTAAACAGACCTACCTTTGTGTGCCAGTTCAGTCCCTTTGTAAGCACAAATACAATGAATCACCACTTGAATCCGTCTCCGCCTCTTTCTGCCTGATAAGCATCTGTCCTCTCTTGACTGTTTGCCGGTATGGAGTTAACCCTGAGCCCCTTTTACCAACCCTCACCTTCACCTGAGCTAATAGCACACCAGCTTTTCTCTCCTGTACTTCATACCTACGGGACAGAGTGTGTGTGTGTGTATTGTGCTATAGCAAATGAAAATAAATGAGTTGGTGGATGAATCAAGACTAAGCTATCTATAACACAATCGTCAGCTGGTATTGTTTGAACAATTAATGGCATTTTTGTCGGGCTACAAAATACAACACACACACACGGACACACACACACGCACACACTCTTGTACAGACAGGGGACTAGTGCAGATGGTGTAATAATGTGGCTCAGCACAACAGTTTGCTGTGGATAGCTAATTATCTTGCTGATTATAAAGATATATTGCAAAGGATTTTTGCCAATATGGTTTCAGTAGAACAGAGTGCTGAATTCCAGCACCATGAGGAACTTTATCTTCCAGCCCTCTGTCATCAATCTTTTAGAAGCGCACGCACGCACGCACGCAGGCACACACACACACACACACACACACACACACACACACAGATAGTTAGATAGATAGATAGTGTATGCTAGTAAAAACATAATATTTGACATGCCTTAAGGACATGGAACTATCTCTGCATAATATCATGTCGATCAGTTTCTTCCAATCTCTCATTGCATCAACCTTATACTTCACATGGAAACAATTACTTATTTCTCACAGTTTCTATTGAATGCATATCTATTCCTCTGGGGAGAGGGTATATACAGTATAATAGGCGTCTGACTTTTCAATAAGGCACCATTTATAAAGAGATTATTATGTGTTAATAGAGGCTTTGTTTGGTTGATAAATAATTTACTTGTGCTTTATTCAAAAGAATAACTTACAGGTTGCCAGGTTGTGTAACATGTCTTTGAGTGGTTGGAGCATTTGACCACTTACTTGCAGAATATATTCATCAACACAATGTACAACTGCAGACTTGATGGATTAAAAGCCCTATATTAATTACTTTTTAATAACATTTACAGCAACATACTAAATGGTTTGTTACAATGTGAACTCAATGGATAACCCACATCATTTAATTTTACACAGATTTATAATTTCTAAACAAATGGATTATTAAAGGATTATTTACAACCTGACAACCCCACCAAAAAGTTCCTTCTTATTAGCTTATAACTGAGCTATAAAGCATTAGTATATGAGTTATTAACATACAACGTATTAGATGTCAAACAATCAATTGAAGCAATCCATTAGTGATTAACAGAGTTTGTATTTAAATTGATAAATCGTTTAGGTTATCAATCAAACACAAATGGAAGATATTCTCTATAGTTCTTGCCTCTCAAATGTGGAGGTTTGCTGCTTTTCTCTGTTTTGTATCATATTAATCTGAATATCTTTGAGTTTTGTTGCTCCAAACCAAAGAAGCAATTTAAAGATGTAACCATCGGCAATTATAACAGGCATTGTGGAGGGAAAAAAATTATATTGACAGGTTAACCAATAATGAAAAATATTCTTTGCAGCTGTATAATTAACAAACCATTTAGAAAAGGTGTCTTATTAGAAGGCAGTAGAATATCAATATATAGCCCATTGCAACAACAATACAACTCAGTAATAATTCAAATTGCCTCGGAGGCAATATCTTGATCAATCAACAATTGAATACACCCTGTGTTCAATCCAACAAACATGATGTCAGCCAGATAATGATGGCCAGATGTTGGCCTCCTTTATCAATCCAATCTAACCTGTGGCCTAAAGCTTACATCATCCCAACTGTTGACAGTATCAACACAGATTCAGTCACCTGCACCAGAGGTCGATTCTCCCCACTCCACCCTTCTTGTGCTTTACTCAAACAACCACAGCCCCCCCCCTCTGTCGCTCCTTTTGTCTCCATCTCGCTGCACCTCTAGTCCCGCCTTTCACCGCCCCTACGAGAGGCACTGGGAGTTTAATGTTGTTCCCTCTGCCCCGTCTTCGATACCCGGGTATCCATTTTACTTTACTGCAACTTTTCCCCTTGCCACTTATTTGTGTTTTACCTCCCCGACACTTTTGAGTTCGAGAAACTTAGAACGACTGCAGGTTCACCCCCCTCACACCTCCATCTCTCCCGAGTCACGTCCAAGTCACAAGGTAAGGCCAGCACCGGCGAGCTAGATAGAAACAGGTGTAGCGTTATCCGCAGCCTGGTTAACTCGACATTACGCAACTCTTTTTGTATTCCTCCATTCTTCTCTTCCACGCTTAAAGTTGCGAAGATGATATTTCATACTTGTGGAAGTTGACAGCTGTGAACTTTGCGGTGTTGTTTTGCTGTTTTTACTGAAAGCTCAGGTGCGACGCCACGGTCGAAACATCGTGAGAGGTAGGTGAGGCCAGGTCTGTGCTTTCAAGTCCTCCGCGAATTATCCCAAACGGAAATGTCACCGTGGGCGAGTAACGCTACTGAATTGTCATGATGTATTTGTGAATTCACTAGTGGACTGATATTCTTTAGTAGCATCGCAATGGTAATCTTACTCTTAGTTTTACTTTAATATTTTGCCATATCATAATCAAAAATAAAAATAAAACTTTTAAATGCTGATTTCGCTCTCTGGATACATCAGGTTTATACATTTCTGTGTTAAACCCTGGTGATATATTTCCGTTGCTTATTAAACTCCAGAAAAGCAAACACTGTCAAGGAAACAGGCACCCTCTCAGGTATGACATTGTGCGAGTTATTATAAGAGTTTTATTTGTGATGTAATATTTTGCATATTTCAGTTCCAGCTGTTGGGAGGGTACAGCTCAATGTTAAATCCCTAATGTGCAGCAGGCTATCCTATATGACCTGAAAACTATACATGCACTACGCTCAGAAGCTTATCATTTTATATTTTGCACCACCAGGGTACCTGATCAAGATCACCTGATGTATAAACAGACAAAAAGACACTGCCAAGAACCAGCATGTTTATTAACTGATTAATATGCATCCTCCATTCTTAGTGGTGTTGCTTGAACACTCAAACTGTGTGTGTGGGTGTGTGTGTGTCATGAGGTGTGCCTTTAAGAAGAGAAGAAGAAATAAACTTATTTACCCAGGACAAACAGATAAACTCATCTGAGACAGGTTGCAACACATAAAGGTTCTCAATCCTAATTTGTGTAAGGATATTTCGCAGCCAGTCATCAGTGTTTTTTTTTTAATTTGCAGTACATTATGTTAATGATGTGCTGTTGATGGTTACAGAAAACCTCGCTGCTTTGCCTCAGCCCCCTGCTTTATGTCTATTAGCTTTAATAAATGTTGATTCTTGTAAGACAGAGCCTGTCAGACCTGTTCTTTTGTGATGGTGGTTGTTGTTTGTCGGATGTAATATGAGAGGAATGAGTACAGGGAGTCAGCAACAGTGGCATGAAAGAAAGAGGAAGGACATAGGTGAGGGAATGGGGTTAAATAGGACTGACTAAATTAATGTGGATGATTGGTTTCCTAATGCTGAGAGCTCAGTAGGCCATTTTGCCATATTTCCATAATCTAAAAATAAAGATATAAGGGCATGCAGAGAGACCATGTTGTCATTATAAACAGCTCCTCCTGTGCCATTGGCATGGGAAAGTCAAGTGTTTTTCTTCCCACTTTAACTCTGTTGTCACCATAATGCAAGATGTAAAGGCTTTTAACCTTAGCTCAACTTATCTACAGAATGCTCGTGGCTCCGCCTTTCATGTTAGACATACAAGGACAGAGTTGTTCTTTTACAGATATCACAATATTCTCCTTAACCTTCCGTAGACTTTAAGCTCATGTGCCTTTTCACACATGCGTGCACTGGGGGTATGTTTGTTGCAGACGTTGAAATGAATCTGACTTGCGGTCTGATCAATATTGCATACTACATTCAATGATTTCATTACACTTAACAGCTTTCGGTAGGTTACAAATCTGTCTCAAATCTGACCTGCTAAAGTGAACCGCATGTCTAAACCCATTTGGTCAGTGTGTTTTTCTTTCTTTTTTTTTTTTTTTAAATAATCAGAGCCTTACTGAGCTAGTCTTGCTAAACTTGGCCTTCAAGGGACCCCACTCGGATTCTTTTGGAAGATCAGTTAATCACGCTGCATTTGAAATATATAATGCAAAAATAAACCGCTTGAACTGACTTGTGTTTGACTTAATATCAGTTCTTAGAAGACACATCTCCCCTCTCAACAGGGTGCTTTCAGCTAATTAACCCCCACTGTGGAAGCAGCAAGGCAGCTCTTCCCGCTGTGCTAAATCAAGAAAACGTTGGTCCAGATTATGGTATTAGAGATTGATAATCACCGTATAATTACCTTCTTGTTTTCCCTCTTAATAGAGGAAATTAGCTTCCGGCTCAAGCTGTAATTGGTGTGGTTTTTAATTATACACAACTGAAAGCTGCAATATAAGGCAATCCATTTGAGATGTTAGCAGAGATATGTCAGAGTTTTATTGTGTTTTATTGAGGCCTAAGTAGTCATTTGTTTAAACTCATCTGCGAGGTAGTTTGAACTGTCGTAAGTATCGTAAAAAAAAAACACTGACCTATGTCACAATATGGCACATGTTTGGATAATCATATCAAATAATCTAATTGATGTTCAATGCAATCACTTGTGTACCATGGTTATACATTACATTGGAAATAATTATTCATATGTGTAGAATTTTGTTTCTCTTCAGGAACAATTATGGTGCTAATCACCAAGTCACAACTGATAACCATGGTCATATAATCATAATGACTCACTGAACGCCAATGCTGATTATGAATCATAAATCTCTTATTGTTGATACAGAAGGGAAAACAACTGTGAAAATATAGTTGAGGCAGAGTTTTGGGTTTAAAGGAAAAGTATGAATATATTTTGCAGGTGACTTTTGCTTGTGCACAATATTTATGAATTAACTGGTAAATTCCTTACAAACTTTAAAATATGTTTATCTCCTGTTTTAACTTGTGTGCCTTATTCATCTCCACTTTGTCTTCACCTGATGATTTCGTGTCCTTTTAATTCTCTTAATTCCGATAATCTCCTCTCCCCTCGCTGTGTGCAGGGTAACCAGACTCCATCGTTAATTGTAATTCAAGTAATGACGCATCACAGTCCAAGGTAGACAGCGGCTGGTTTCTATAGTTACCGTCAACAGTCTGGGCCGAGAAGTGTTTGTAACAATATCCTCAGGACAATGCTAAAGAGAAGGGTGGCCACCTTGAGTCCTCTTCCTACCCCAGCTGTCTGTGGAGAGGAACTTCACATTGTGGACAAACAGGTGGCCGATGCAACCCTGTTAAGACGGACTGGACGGGTTGCATCCCGGTCCAAAGAGTTTCATTTATAGATGCCCCCCCCCCAGTGTTCGACACATGTCTTCAGGTGTAACACCCAGTAGAAGGGGCGCATGGCTTAGTCATTGTAGTTTGAGAAATCGTGGATAATTGATGACTCTCCGTATAGCGGTTCTCCAGTGTTGATGATTAATCCAAGTGAGAGGGAGAGTGTAGGCATATATATCGGGCACAGGCTATGACATGGTGGCATGATAATGGATCTTTGTGTTTGTGTTTGTGAAGAGAGTGGCCGGAGGTTTAGAATGACGTTGGTGCTGCCCACACTGTGCACAGTGAGTGAGCGGGGACGAAGGGGTGGAATGGAAATACAGAGAGAGAGAGACAGGCAAAGGTGGATTAGGAAAGGTAAACTAATCAGGATACAACACATCGACCCACACGGATACTGAGAAGGTGTCTTCTCTCAATACTACTGAACTGAACTGAAACCCAGTCGAGGAAGAGGAAAATATTGCGTTAATATCCAGGAATGAAGTTTGATGCACACATAGATTCTCCCCTATGTTGGTGACTGATAAATGTTGGGCCAGAATAAGGTTTAAGATGATGTTCTTTTTTACCTTCTGTCAGTCCTATCGAGGCACCTTTCAGACTTGGGCCCAATAATTCTCAGTATTGAATGAATAGAATGTTTGATTACATTTCTAACAATAATGTTTTTCTACCTGATGACCAGCATTGATTCATATCTGTAGTATGACGCTTCTTTGTTTTTCTTTATAATTACAGCCATGCTGCTACCCTCGTCACTACTACTCCTCCTTGGCCTCCTCACATGGGGTCCCGGTGCATCGTGGGCCGCTAAAGTGATCGTGGTCCCGCCCATCATGTTTGAATCACACCTCTACATCTTCAAGACGCTGGCCACGGCTCTGCAACAGGAGGGCCACGAGACCCATTTTCTGATCTCAGAGGGTCGCGGGGTGCCCCCCTCCCCTAACTACCACCTGCAGCGCTACCCGGGGATCTTTAACAGCACCACGGCCGACAACTTCCTCCAGTCCAAAGTCAGCAACATCTTCTCAGGCCGCCTGACGTTTCTGGAACTGTTTGACATTCTCGACCACTACTCCCAGAACTGTGACGCTGTTGTTGGCAGTGTTGAGGTGATGACCCGCCTCAAGGAGGCCAAGTTTGACCTGCTGCTGGTGGACCCTAATGAGATGTGTGGTTTTGTGATCGCTCATATCTTGGGTGTGAAATATGCCGTGTTCAGCACCGGCCTGTGGTACCCTGCAGAGGCGGGCGCCCCAGCCCCGCTTTCATACGTACCCGAATTCAACTCATTGCTCACAGACCACATGTCTCTGGTCCAGAGGATCGCCAACACAGCTGTTTACCTAGTGCAGCGCTTTGGAGTCCGTTACATTGCGCTACCCAAGTATGACCGGATTATGAAGAAACATGGAGTGAAGCCTCAAGTGGCCATGGCGGACTTGGTGCAGGGCAGCCAGATGTGGATGCTGTGCACTGACATGGCTCTGGAGTTCCCCAGGCCCACCCTGCCACATGTGGTGTACATAGGAGGCATCCTTACCAAGCCCCCCAACCCACTGCCACAGGTCAGTACTGTGATACACACAGGCAGCTGACAAGCACATGGTGAGATTAGCAAAGAAGACACAGTGGTTTTGTGTGGTCTCATGAACATGAGGTCTTATGCATTGTTTCACTTTTATATCACATTATCTATGGAAAAAAATAAACTTTTGAAGGATAAAATAACTTGACAGCAATGTCTGTTTTTGGCTAATGTGGTCATAAATCAGTCTTTTCCACAATGGCCTAATATACCCAGATACATTGTGACGGGATGGTTATCCCAGCATCAACCATATTATGGAATATACAGTATATATACAAATTCTGTGACAAATTATTATAATCTCACATTATTTAGCAAACTGTATATTGTCATATGGCCTAGCACTACTATGGAGTCAGTGTCTTTAGTGCTTATGCATCACTATGGACGCTGGAACATGAAAATAGGGTTCTGTGACATTAGTGATAAAAGTACTGCAATACAATGGCTAACTAATGGCAAAAGAGTTTGACTATTACAATATGCTAAATAATGTTTTTATAGGCAAGATGGGGAGCCATATTGTTATGCTTTAGCATTTACACATTTGTCTTTTTATCAGCTGGAGTCCACTTACACACTATTTTTAGTGTGATTTAAAGCAACAGGAAGAGCTTTTCCTTGTTTTTCTTATTACGCATAAATCTGTCAATCTTTTAATCGGCAGTTGTTATTGATTAATGTCAATTAATTATTTTTTTAAAAGTTGGGGGAGAATCTTTTACATCCAATTGAGTTCATGGGTGGAATTACGTCCCTATACTTTTGTCACTCATGAAGTCTGAAGCTCATTGTCAGTTCACATACACTCTTGGTATTATCTCCCTTCTCCCGTCTTATCAGTCTGACTGAGATTCAGTATTTTTTTGTATCTATCCTTGCTTGTCCCCATCGTCTCCGCTATCATTGGTAACATCTATTATCAATCCCGCTACAAAGCCATCCTTTATAGACGATGCTGGGGTGAGATTGGGTTTGGGTTGAATGGAAGCGGTGGATTTTGAGCAGAGAGGGAGGGGAGTCACGGAGAGCAGAGGCGGGCGGTGACGGGGGGTTAGTCTAGCGTTCGGTGGCCCGAGGGCGCGGGCCATCGGCATCCACTGCAGGGGGTTTTGGAATGCCACTCCAGCCAATAGGGAAATAGGAAGCATTGTGCTGTGTTGTGTGGAGGGAGTAAGAATGGAAGCGGAGGGAGAACGAGGCCATTGTTCTGGGCAGAGCTCTGGGGACACTGAGACTCTTTTATGGGGTCACTGAGGCTGCGTTGTAGGGACACAGAGCCCAGTGTGTCCCTGATGTTGCCCCGTGCCAGGGCCAGCCTTAGCTGCCGCAGCTGGACCGTTAGCCTCCCTCCCTCTACTCCAACATGGCTGCTCCCTCATCACTTCACTGACCAGAAGCTGGTTTACTCAGTCATGTGGATAGGTGGAACAGGGCCCAATGAGGAGGAGGAGGATGTCATTTCTTCTGCAGAAAAATAGTTGAAAAATACAAAATAGTTCTCAGTGAGGTTTGCGGATGATTCTAGAGAGGCACGCTGCTGTGTTTTCTTTGAGCATCGATGAAGAAATTCCTTTCAACATTATATTAAGTTGGCATCAGAAACTCAGATATCTCTAAACTTTACAGATGAGAAATGAAAAAGTCTGGTGGAGATAGCTCCAGAGGGACAGGAGGAAAGTCTTTGTTGTGATTTAGTGTCCTCAAAGGACGCCAAAGGACTTTATTGTTAATATGGAGGATGTTTAAAATGTATCTGATGAAACGTTTCTCATTTGACTTTTGTATATTTTGATGGTGTTTTGTAAATTATTTTTAATCAGTAGTGCTGCGAGTTCAAGACAAGTTTCCCCACAGACACAATCAAATATATTGTATTGCCGTCCCCAAAATAGACTTGCATTTCTATGGCTTTATATGAATTGATTTATAAACGTAATGCACACGCAGTCTTCATTTTGTACAAACGAGAGCCTGGAGAAAAATGGTGATATTTTGCGATAATATGCTACTAATATATATTTTTTAAGTTTTATTGAAGTTATAATTATATAATGATGAATATACTTTGAACAGAAATATCACAGATTTGACTGTAGTGCGCTCAGTATTCTAGTCTATTGTGGACAACTTATTTTTCATGTGTCAAAAACAGGAAACGTTGGTGCCTTGCAGACGCTGTGTGATGAAATAAGGCCATGTCAATTTATTAGGAAAATGATACAGGACCATTAATATTAGTTACTTTATGGACTATCGCCATTGTTCGTTAATGTTGTAATATGAAATGATGATGTAATGCAACACCGGGCACCAAATTGCAGAAAGCAAGGTCGGCACATCCTTACTTGCAGTTCTGAGGCATTGACCTAAATATATTAAACAGCCTCATGAATTAGACATTCTCTGTCTTGCTTGATTAACTTCTACTGTGGACATTTGTTCTGTGAAAAATGTCTTGAATTTGAAATGAAGTAGTCTACATGGATATAATTTCACCCGCTGCAATATGGTATGAACAGGAAGGAAGTACCTGGCATAGTAGTGTTTGCATTGTATTAATATGAATCTTTTTCATGGGCAAAGAACCTCTATGAAAATGTATTCTTTTAGCTCTCATTGTCTTTCTATTATACCCCCGCAGGATTTCGAGGCGTGGGTGAATGACACAGCGGAGCATGGCTTTGTAGTGGTCTCGTTTGGAGCCGGGGTCAAGTACCTTTCCCATGACATCGCTCACAAACTGGCAGGAGCCCTCGCCAGGCTGCCCCAGCGTGTCGTCTGGAGGTGAAGTATCTATTTTTGTCTCTCATAACTGGACACAGCTGTCACTGTGACAACATGTCAACACAGATTTTTGAGCTTCAAGTTACGGATTTTCCTCCACTCAGCACTCAGGGGAAATTGAATTTCTTGTTTTTATATGGACCTCCATAATCATCGTTGTAAAAATCAGGTCTATATTCCCACCTCACATTTGCTTCACGGGATGATCTTCCCGTAGAAGAAACAGCATTGAGTTGTAGAACCTGAACTCTTAGAGACTTTGTGCTCCTCTAAGGAAAACTGAGGACAGAATCTAACGATGATGGCTTCACATTTTAATGATGGCAAGACCGTAGTATTTGATTCAATTCAGCAAAGTCACAAACAGTTAAACACACTGTTCAGTGTCTCACAATCATGCAGACAAAATATGTCGTTGATGGGGAAACTAAAACTAATGTGTTGAGGATGAATTAACAACAAGAGGTCCTTCACAGAATTGTCTAAAACGGCAATGCTTGCCCAGTGAGAGAGATAGGTGTGATTCAAATCTCATCTTTTGTAATCATTTACACAGAATGATCCACTGACTGTGACCTGAGCAGGAAAACACAAAACATAACAGGGAGGAGTGAATAAGAGGAGGGCAATTGGTTTAAAATTCCATCCGTGAACCTGTTAACCCTTAACTCTTATCTTGGTGGATTTAGGAGTTTGTGATTCATTGACCACATTCATATTGTTTCTGTGTACTTTTTATCCCATAGATGACTGAAGAATAGTTAATTAGACATCCAAATTGATCTGAGCTTGCACAATCCTTATGAGAACATAACATTTGTTTATATAGGTCAATCTATTCTACAATGTCCCAATATTGACTGCAGGAGCAAAGCCTTGATCCTTGTAAGTGCACGCAGCTCCTAAACTTGACTTCCCTTTAAGTATATGTTGTAGCTGGGTTAATGTTTGACCTGTGTGCAGATGTTGGTGAAGGTCTTCACTTGTACGAACACACTCCACAAGTAGTATGTCTGGTCCAGATAATTAATACTGTTTTAAAATGTTAGTTTTATTGGGTTTATCGATTTTGATTCCAGTTTTGCTGTAGTTATCTTTTTTATGTTTGTTTCAATTTCAGCTCTAGTCGTCAGCATCATGCTGAGTAATGCTGCTATAAGTTTAAATTGTCGGATTTGAATGGCTCAATGCAGATGGAGTGCTGATATTTGAATGTTGTTGACAATGGGCCTTTATTTGCTTTCAGTTAATAACCAATAACTATTTTTAAAGATAATATCACATTACATCACATTTCCTTCTGGCAATGTGTCTAAGTCACACATTTGCATGTCACAGAGTGTAACTTGCAAATGTGTGCAAATTAGTGCAGTAGTTTACTAAAGTTACATTTCTAGAACCCACACATGATAAGTAACCAACTGCAAAAAGTTAGATTCATGTTCAAAGTAAACCATTAATTGACATCTCAAAGAGAGGTCAGAGGAGTGTGAGGGTATCAGATGAGAATGCTGAGAAATATTAAGTCTGTAAGATCTTAGGATAACTTTCGATAGCCACTTTTCCTTTGAGCAGCATGTAAGAAATATCATCCGAGTTTGTTCTCATCAACCAAGAATCATCTCCAAAATAAAACACAGGCCTCTGAGATCAGCTGATAAAAACCTTTTAGCTGTTCCACCAACCAGACTGGAAACCAAAGGTGACCGAGCATTTTTTGGTTACGCCCCCTCGGCTTTGGAACAGCCTTCCCCTCAGTGTGACAGCGGCTGACTCCACTGCACTCCTTACAAAGATGGCCTACACTTAACAATTTGACATGAGCTTATTTCTCTTATACACCTTTTACATAATTATATATGAACTTATTTCTTTCATTCTGCACTTGCTGTTCATGAATGGTTTTCAGTGCTGCATTAGAAGGAAGTAGTGACACAAATAAGAAATGAGTAGAGGATTAAATGAAATTGAAGATGAGGAAATTAAGTATGTATTGTAAAGGTTACAGAGATGACACAGATTCACTTTAAAATAGCTCGTGAGTCTGTTGACGTACAGTAACTAGAATATCATCAATCTCTGGAGAGCTAAGAGAGAGTAAAGTCAAGCTTAGGTTGAGTGTGACCCTTTTTACATAAACAAAGCTAATAGACCCCCTATGCCTTCCTTAACACACAAGTACTTTAATTATGTGACTGCTTATCTTCCTTGGTTGTCTGCACCTGGGGAAAAAAAAAAGCAGTCTACTGTGGCATTCTAAGAGCAGGGTTCAACAACAGACATTCACTATATGATAGAATGTGTGGGGGTGGAAACACATCGAGTAGCTGGAGCTGGGCAGAGTCCCTGGTTTGATCGAAGAGGATCAAATTGTGGTTACAGTGTCTGGAATAGGGCGGTTGTCAAAAAGCTTGCCAGGGATGTGGGCAAAAGCTACTGTGTGTTGTAATGAGGAGTGCTGGAGTAATAATGTGTGACAGTTTGTCATCTTAGGATATAAAATGACACATTTTTAAAAAGGAGAATCTCAAGCACTGACAATGATGCTCCACATGTCGGTATCCGACCAAGTTTACAGGTGAAGTGAGTACAACAATATAAGCAGGAGCCTCAATACGTTGTATGTGACATTGAATTGTAATCTAGCTTTTCAGTGGCCCTTCCAAATGGAAAAAAAGGAAGAGGGCTGATGAGAGGGACAGGGACCCGGCCAAATGAATCGTGTCATTGATAATTGGCTGCATGAATGTAGGCTTTGATTGACAGTGAATTGGGGCTTTGTTGAAGAGAGAAAGAGAGATGAAAGACTCTGGGTTAGGGAGAGAAGGAGACAGATGGACGGATGGGGGGGGGGGGGGGGGGGGGGGGTCATAATGTAGCATGCATATGTATTGTGTGCTGCATTTGTTGGAAAATGCTTCCGCACACACAACCACAGACACCAACAGACATACACACAATGCTGTACACATTCACCACCACCCGTAGAAGACAAAGGGTCCAGATCTAAATGTCTGGGTGAACAAGCGATGCCCTTCTGCTTTTTGGCTTTTTGTTGAGGAAAACAGAGATCAACATTGAATTCCCCTTTGTTCCCTTCCTGCATAATGCAAATGTCAGACTCAAATAATTCATTTACCCTTCTGTATATACATAAAATGCATCTCTTGTACTCACTGTACATCCTCTGCCAATGAAAGATCAACATTAGAAATACAAATACAGTCCACAAAATAAAAGGTGAGGGGTAAAATACATGTTAGCTGAACAGTATTGAGAGTTTTGTGGTGAGGTTGGCAGGCAACCAGCGGTGACCCCTGAAAGGTAATTAGCTGGGACAGGGAATAGTCTGGCACATTACCCCCCGTAAAACTGTTACATGTCATTTTTACACTTCTGTTTATGTGCTGAATAAACAAATGAGGTATGGCGTGTTGATTAGTGAGTTTTACAGGTGCTGGTGGGTAGTGTTGTTACCTTTGGACAGATCCAGACTAGCTGTTTCCCACTGCTTCCAGTCTGTGTGCTAGGTTAGCAAATAAGTGTATTATCCAGAAAGTCAAAGTGTCAGACAATTCTTTGAATAAAAGAGTGCTTACATATAATCCTCCAACAAAGGCATTTAGGGAGTAGATATAACATGTGCACTGATGTGACAAATAAGAAATACGGTGTGAATAGTGACTCAGGGGTTTCCTCTCTGTTCATACACTATGATGACAACATCATTTACTAAAAGGTGAGCTAAACTATCTCACTCGTCATTATTTCCTTTTTCCTTCCTTAGATTCTCTGGAGTTCCACCCAGTAACCTTGGCAACAACACCAAGCTTGTTGATTGGATGCCTCAGAATGACTTACTGGGTGAGTACATTTGGAGGACGCCGCATACTGCGATGTGTACTTCACCTTCTAGTTCTCAACTGTCAAATTGTCTTATTGAAATGAACCATATAAATATAAATCTATTTGTCACAGCTTATGCTTGGCATTTTTACACAAGGTGGTCCAACGTAGAGTCTGGCGGACTTTGCTTTGTGTGAGGGGGTTCCTTCCATACCTACTTATTAACCACAGCAGTGGGTAGAATCTGAGCGTGTAAGCCACGCATGTCAGGAATTAGCAATGCAACAACATTCAGATGTTGGACGGCTAGCATGGTATTCTGCAGTGGTGTAATAGCACCGTAGTTAGCCAACCCTGCAAATACAGACTGTCTGGCTTTCCGGTCGCTCAGTAAAAGGGATTTTAGAGCAACAGTTCACCATAAAACCATAAAACATATATTTCCTATTACTCTGTTGCACCAAAGTGCATTTATGTTGATGGCCAAATGGCCAATTCAATGTTTATTTAATTGAATAAATACAGCAGCTGCATCTCCTTCCAAATATAATAACATTTGTGGGCTAGTTTTAACTGGAGCATGTCCTCCAACTCGCTTCATCTATTGAGAGGAAAGCAATGGATTATAATTGAAGTGTGATTCTCTTTGCATATGAACTTTGCTGTTGTTGCTGTATTTAGTGCCAAAAACCAAACTTTCAAACTTCAGGTAATCATACTGAAACTATGCAGGTGGATATATAGGGCACTGATTAAGAGGGGGATTCAATTTGGCCATGTTTTCGGTAGATTACACCATTAAATTGTTGAAATAGGTATAGAGAAAGTAAAGCATTTACATTGAAATTTCTCCCCTCATAAAAACAATGATTGATGTATTTTGTTAATTATACTGATGAACTGACACACACACAGACCGTCTATTTTCCTCTAACTGCAAAAGTATCACATTCCCAAAGTGGGGAGCAACAGTGAAATACTGCTGTGTGAAGCATTTTATAAGATGTACAGTATAAACTGTAATATAATATAGCAAAATAAGCACCCTGTCAAAAAATGATGAATGAACATACCACCTAACATGCAAAATACCATCCCCCGTCCCTCCTGTCATGTAGGCCACACCAACACAAGGGCCTTCCTGAGCCATGGTGGCCTGAACAGCATCTACGAGGCGATGTATCACGGGGTGCCGGTGGTAGGTGTGCCCCTATTTGGAGACCACTATGACACCATGACTCGTGTGGCAGCCAAAGGTATGGGAATCATGCTACACTGGAAGTACATGACCGAGGAAGACCTCTACACAGCCCTGACCAGTGTCATCAAAGACACCAGGTTAGATTCCTAAGTCACACATGAACACTTTGTACACTAGTGCAATTGTTCATCAGTGCCATCTGGTGACCATATATGGAATCATCTCTCTGTGACTTCATGGCACACATGGAATGTTCACCATCTTTATCTCCCTTTTATATGGTTGTGCTCTCATGAGATTGCCCATAAAGACTTGTGTCCTTGTCCCTTTTTATATCCTTGCTTTTACATCCTCGTTCCCAACCTCTGTCTCTCCCCACCAAGGTACCGCCAGCGAGCACTCACTCTCTCCAACATTCACAAAGACCAGCCCGGCCACCCTGTGACCAGGGCCGTCTACTGGATCAGCTACGTTCTACGTCACAACGGTGCCAGCCACCTGCGCTCTGCTGTATATGAGGTGTCTCCCTACCAGTACTTCCTGCTGGATGTGATTTTTACTGTAGGGGCTGCCTTGGCTCTGACCATATTTGCCCTGCGGCGGTTGGTACGATTGCTGAGGGGGAAGGCCGGCGATCAGAGCAGAGGAGGCGGCGTCGCCAGGGATGATGGTAACATGGCCAATGGACATTGCCACAGCGAGAGCATGGCCAATGGGAAACACAAACGCAACGGCTCTTTGAAAAACGAGAAGAAGATCAATTAATGTTTTGAATGGCCAAGAGGGACGAGGAAGAAGTTGCCCCAAGGACTTAGCTCTAGGTTTATTTTAGTGGTTTCATAAAAGCTTTGAGAGGAAAGCTGTTCTTAGGGCTGTGTCGAGAGGCAACTGCTACTCTGAGCGAGCAAGAGGCTGTAGGAGGATACACCATGCATCGTGTGGGGACAGAGCAAGGCATTGGGTGCTCAAAATCTGTGTGTGTGTGTGTTTGTTGGTGTATGTGTGCACTGAGGCGAATTTAATGAAAACTCTAACAAAAGCAGCTACTGCAATACAACACCAAATTGAAAAGTAATTGAGGATGAAACACAGGGAAGACACATTGGGAGGACATAGTTTCTTCACGTGCGTCATCTCTCCTGCATGTTTTCTGCTGTCTTCCTGCTCTCCTTACCAGTCGAAGGATGCTAAAGAGGAGAAATCCTGAGCGCCAACCCCTCATCCTCAGAACAAAAAAAAGAAAACAAATGGATGACTGATAAATAGTTAGGATTTAATGTTTTTAACTGCAAATTCTGCCTCAACAAATGTCTGGTAAACTGTAAATAGAGGACCAATCTATTTATTACTGTACACATTTTAATGATGAACCTTTTTAACCTATCTATTTTTAATTTATTTGATGTATCAATGGTGTGATACCATTATGGTAGATAAACACTCCCTCTTCTAATCTAACATTTGCAAAGGATTGTGTGCTTCATTTTGGTGAAACAAACAAAGCAAAAGACTGACAGCTGCAGTCATTACAATTTTGCACAGCAGCTGCATTGTCCACAGTGGGCTTGTTTTTCAAAATAATCCGTGATGAAAATATTTTTGATTTTCCCTCCTCTTCACATGGTAGTGTCATCCTGTGACAGCATTTGGCTGTGCAGCAGTCCCATTGTCTCTGGACTGACAGTTTGTTGGGGTAGAGAATAACTCAACTGAACTCTGTTTGGCTTATCAGTGTGAAAAGTTACCGTCAAAAAATATATAAATGACTTCTGAGAATACTGTGGATCGGCAGAGCCAGATCAGAAATGTGCTCTGGGTCATCCAGGTGATCAGGGATGAGTCAGAGCATTATTGATGTATGATTACTTGCTCTGTCAGTCCCATTTCCATCTTCTATTTATTAATCAGTAAGGATTCATCACTTGATTGCCATTTTTAGCGCGACACATGACTTTGTACATTTCTCTATGATTCATTTGGTGGATCATTTCTAACATACTGTATGTCGCAAATGCTAGTTTTGAATTACACAGTTCGGGGAAGAAATCCATTTAGCGCCTCTCTTTTGCAAGTTTGTTAAGCCCGTTCGATTTTGTTATTGAGCTTCACGGACAAACTAGGTCAACCTTAGGTAATTATTTTAACTTTTAGTGTGAACGATTGATCTGTATGTGGCCTTTTGTTATGCAAATATTTGTTTATGCAGTATGCTTGAATACATGTGTAGATGGGCTTGTTGTTTGCTTGTGTGTTTTAGATCACTGTACAGCTTTAGACTGAGTGTACGGATGAAACAATGTAAATGAGGTTTGTTTCTCGACCCCTGCATCTGTTAATTCTCAATGCAGATGGAGAAAGGGTGAAAGGAGGGTGAAAGAGTGAATTAGTTCCAACAACAAAGGTGAACCTCACTACTTCTACAATGAGTGACACCGATCCTCGCAGCGCAATTCTCTTTCCTTGAACCCCCGTCGAGGAGATCAAAGTACAGGGCGAGCTGGAAGAGTATCTTTGGAGTTTGTGGGGATTCGGTATCTTGCTAATGGACATTTCAGAAGGGCTGGGGCTCATGGACACGGGACAGAAAAATCTCATGAACATGAGACTTCCAGTTGGACAGTTCATCAAACCACCAGGCCACACTTACTGTATTTTCCTCCCATTGTTCCAGCTGCACCGTCCATCTACTTTTTAAAGTTTCAAATTGCAACCACAATTGGCACTCTAGCAAACAAATTATTTACCAAATTACTAAAGCCTCACAAGTGGACAATATAGCAATGTATTTGAAAGTAACAGAGTGAATGCTCCCACTTAACCTGTCAGAAGTTGTTGAGGACCTAACATCCAACCCCGTCCTGTATGATAGTTGAGAAAACCTTCATGATGTTCCTTTCTCTGTGAGCTACAACTACACTTGCACAGCCCAACCAACCCAGCCCTGCTGAGAACAGACTTTTATACTTGAAACATCATCATTGTCATCATCATCTATAACAAGTTCAGCTGTTGGGTATGGTAGGTGGACCTGTAGGTGCTACACAAGCTATGAACAGGGTCTGGAAAAGGAAAAAGAAATTGTGAAGATACATGTTTTTCCCTTATTATTTTCAGTATTAATGTATAGCCCACATAGTTTAAATGTCCACCAACGTCCATCCTTAACTCCTCTCTTGTGTCTCCACTGATTCTGCACTCTGACGTGTCTCTGTTCTTGTGGCGTTTGCATTTCATCAGCTTGAAGTTTTTCTTTGTTCTGTCTTCAATAGTGCACTTGCTTGTTCCATTTGTCCACCTCTTTGTCTTACTCTTGACTTCCTGGTGTATTTAGCTGTCATTGTATTCATTGTAGTCTTTTTCTTCCTCCTCCTCCTGAAATAATAGATGTCTCCACTCACTCACTTTCCTTTTAATCCTTCATTTTACTTTGATTTTAAAATGACATATAGTCCTCAATTTTCCTGTCATGTGTGTCCATGTTGTAAATAGAACAATGTAAACAAAAAGCTAATGCTGAATAAAAATGACATTTTGTTTGCAGAGATGATTGAATCTTTTCTTCTCAGAAATTTGCCATTGGATTGTCTTCATTTTTGAGATATAAATTTAAAGAAGTTGGATGAAACAGTGAATGAAAAGTTAAGAAAAAGGTGTATTGTAAAGTACTGTACAAAAGTATCTCTAATTATATTGTCCTTAGTAGATAATTGGATGTTGAATGTTATCAGTGCCACTGAACAGCAATATTGAACAAACAAGTGCATACAGTCCATGTTTTTGAGACCTGTCAAGGCGGATGTTGATTACAGCAGGTGATGCTGTCAGTCTCAGTTTGATAGGGGATGTTTGATAGGGGATGTATAGGCTTTCTCTCGGGAATTGTTACCAGGCAGCAAAGATGTTTTGTAGGTATCGAATGGTAGAATCATCTAAAGTTGCTAACTGCACAGACGCATGCACACAAGCTGGGTGGATAGATAGGGTTATCTAATGCTGTATGCTCGTGCTGAGTGAGGCCGGGGTAACAAAACACGCAGTCTGGTACCCTGCCTCGCTCACTGGCCCTGTTAATTATTCACAGCGACTGCAGGGGCCCGCCGACCTAACACACACACACACACACACACACACACACACACACACACACACACACACACACACACACAGTCAAAAGCATCTGCAGGTATGTTTAATTTACGTTCTTTAAGTTGTTTTCTTTTGTTGTCGCTGGTGGCCAAATCAGGCACTGTTCCGTTAACTGAGACAGGAGGGGGGGGGGGAAGAAATAGAGGGCGGCCCTCTGCTGATGAGGAATCCGATATCTCAGAAAGCACAGTGGGCATCGTTCATGACATCCTCCATTCATCCTCAGCCAACCCCTCCCTCCTCAGACCTTGTAAGTGCCTATTATCTACCTTTCCTCTCCACCTCAACGGACAATCATCAGGAGCAATTAACCCCTTTGTGAGGGACTAAGTGGGCTTACTGTATGGAGCAAGAGTCATCCCTCTTTGGACAAGAAATGATGGATTTGCCAATAGTTGCTCCAATTTGCACACAGACATCCACAGTCTTTATGTGAGAGTAGGGCTGAAAGGATATAGTGGGGATTGCATGTTTGCACCACGGATGTTGGACCCAGTTTCTGCGTGGTTGTGTGCAGGGGCGTTTCTAGGATACAAAGAGAGGGGGGGCTTAGCCCCAAGGGGAGTGGCATGTTTGCGTCAATTTTTTTTGGGGCCCATTTGGGGCCGCGGATATCCATTGTTTCAGACAGTTCATAGATCAATCCTAGTGCCCGGGGTTTATATCGTTAATTATGATGATAGGCTGTTGCAGTGGTATTCAAGTAAAATTCCAAAAGGTCCAGATTGAGAAAATGTCCTCGGGCAAAGGTCCGGAACATTACAATAATATCTAACTCGCGTTATTTAGTGCCATATATATATATATATATAAATATATTCAAGAAGTCTAGTAGTAGTAACGTCTCTGTGTAGTCAACAACTGTCAAATCAAATAAAGAAAGTACACATCAATTATATTTTAACAATTAGTATTCTCACTTTTCAAATTTAACTGGATGGATTATAAATAATACATAGAAATACATAAATACATGTTCTTCTCTTTTCAAGTAAAATAATGTCTGGATTAAAGAATAACTGACATAACAGAAAGCTTTTCAGAAATGTGCATCTTAATAAAATAAAGTACTTCATTTTAGAAAAATGTATTTCTCTGAATTGTCCTGCAGCTTTAAATTCAGTTCATTCAGGTGTGAAGTGATGTCAATAAAAATACACGTTATTATATTTTTGTCATTTAAAAAGATAAATTAGTGTGCATGGACTTTATCTGTGGTTATTAAACTAGTTGTTTCAGCTCTATTCTCTCTGTTAACATCATTGGTCAGTGAACTAATGTGTTAGGATTCTGATCATATTGGGCTCTTAGGTTTATTTTCTGTGTCTTCATTTAGATGTGAGTGGGTACGTTTGTTCAAAAGAGTTGTGCTTTGCCTCGTAGTGCGCTTCATTTGCCGCTTTTATCAATAGTTACAGTTTCTGAACATATGAGACATACTGGATTTAACTGCCTGTGGTAATAATTAACATATAAGATTCTGTTCATTTTTGCTTATAAATTCTATTCTCTCTGAACACATTTCTCTTTTTGGAGAACGTCATGTGAGATAACTTCTTCGATTAGCGCAATTTCCCTGCTCTTCTTTCTATTTCCTTGTCGCTCCCCCGTGTGTCACGTGTGTGTAAACCTCGCTAGAGTCAGGAAACTTGTCAGAATACTCATATTTGATTGGCTGAGCTGCATCACGTGATGTGATTTACAACGCATTGGTCGGTGTGTTTCCTGCACCGCTGAACAAGTGCCATAACAGCGCCGGTTAAAGTAAAAACCCCATTGCCTAATATGTATAATTCCGAATTATCTATCGGTTTTAAATCCTGGGTCCGGACCGTGGTCTGCCACTTGGGGACCCCTGGGCTAATGGATTGTAATTTGAAGGGGAGAAACCATAAACCAGAATGCACGCACATCTGTAGCACTGACTTGTCCATGTGAGAAACAATAGTTTAATTTAATGACATCACTAAAATAAAAATATATATATTTTAGGGCGGCTTTTTAGGCCTAATGACGCCCCTGGTTGTGTGTGTTAGCGTGACACCTAAGGGTGTGTGCCAGTTTTGAGATTGTTGATTTAGCTTGGATTAGTTTAAATGAGCCATGGCCTTCCCTCAGTGTTTATTCATCTCTGTCACAGCACATACAGTATATACCAAGAGCTCTACCTATAATATTCCCAGAAGCGTATTCTATTTCTTTGCAACTTGCTTGAAAGGACTGAAAGACTTTCCCTCAACTACATCAACCCAGAGCTGAACTGACGTCAACCGTATATGTAATGGAAAAAGAGAAAAAGATCAGTTAGTTTAATGGAAGTTCAGTTAAACTGGTGAGATCATTGCACAGTAGAGGATAATCTTATTTTCCTCTCAAGTGAGATTGACCTGATGCATCTTTTCAATGTGCTTACGCTTGAATTATGTTACTGTAAAACCAAGTGAGAAACAGCCTTGTTCTCTTGAACAAAAATAACCCAAATACTAACATGTATTTTGGGATTTGGCTGGTCTTATTACAGCAGAGCGAAGTGCTGCAGTGTGTACTTTGCTCTTAAAGCTAAAAATATTTGCTTTTCTTCCGAAAGCACTGAGCTGCATGTAGCCTTGTCACCCTCAAGATAAGGACCACAGGAACAAGTATACAGTCTTTGTGCACGTAATGAGATGACTCATCATTCTAAAGGGTAGGGATCAATACAACTGAGGGCAGCTCCTGCTTGGTGGTCAGTGTAACTAGTACCATGAGATGGGTGTATGTGAGTAAGTAAAAGAAACAAAATAAAGTGAGGAAGAAATTATTCTGCATGTAACCTATATGTCCAGTAGAGGGTAGTGGTATTCCATAATCTCTGGTCACTTCATGCTTTTCTCCTTTTCTTTCCGTCTTTCTAGCCTTTTTTTTCTCTACCCCGATGCCTCAACCAACAACTCATGGAATTGCTGACTGAAGTTTCAACTTTAAAAAGCTCTGAGTTGTGTTTCAAAGATCTTTCTATATCTAGTGTGTGTGTGTGTGTGTCTGTGTATACCTTCCTGAAGTTTCTTATGTGGAGGCGGGCTGCCATCGTCATTCTGGCCCAGTATATATATCCAGCTGTAAATCTGATTAAATCCCCCTTAAAATCTCTTGTCCCAGCATGACAGATGTGCCCTGGTGGAAGCCTTGGTAGAATTCAACATGCTGTGTGTGCGTGTGTGAGTGAGTCAAATGAAGGTTAAATGATCCGTGTGGAAACAGGGTCCCTTCGGCAGCCTCAAATTTAGACGAAGCCAAAAAGAAAGAGACAATTGGAGGTAATTATTAATTGCAACAAGCAAATATGATTGGCCTGTGCTATATACGTGCGTGTGCATGCAATTACATGTGTATGTTTGTACTATATGTGTGTGTGAGTGTGTAGGTATGTGTGTGTGTGTGTGTGTGTGTGTGTGTGTGTGTGTGTCAGAGTGTTTGGGATAGATGGAAGCCTGTCACTGTGTCACCATGGAGATAAGAGAAGCCCGACAGCAAGGGAGAGAGAATGACAGCCTTTATATCAATCATACTGACTTATAACTGCATGTGTGTGTAAATTAAGGAGTTAGGAAGGGGTATTAAGCTAGAATCAGAAAATAAATCAATGTCATAAGGTTTGTATGTCAACAGCTGTTGTCAGTTTGGCCTCACTTCTCAAGGTAATCTCTAAACTCCAGTGACCACACACACAAACACACACACACACACACACACACACACACACACACACACACACACACGATGCACTGACACACAAAGAGACAGATGCCAGTGTGTGTCACCCATCTCTAAGTGCCTGGAAAACAGCCAGAAAGAGCGAGTTGGCCAAATGTTGTCCTGGCACACAAATCTACATCTTTCAGCTTCTCTCTGATCCAATTCTCTCCATCTAATTTACTTTCTGCTCCTCCTTGAATTCCTATCCCTCCCCACACTCCTGCAATTCCTTCCGACTTCCTTTTCCATCCTCTCCTCTCTCTCCCAATATGCACTTTCATTCCCTGCTTCCAAAAATCGTCCAAGCCAGGGCCTCAGTGAATCTGTAAGCTGATGCAGCGTATCTGTGAGGAATTGGGAATTCAATTGGAGAAAATCAGGCTTTTGAGTTTTCAGCCAGATATTTAATTATGGGAGTGAATTATAGCTGTGTCGCTGCAGGGACACAGCAGAGAGGTAATGTGACTAAGTAAACAATAAATAAGCACTAAATAAACATAAAGTCAATGCCATGCTTCATTAGAAACACAACACCCACTGGTGCCCTTGCTAAACCTCCAATGCCTACTTACTTTAGCCAACAAAATCCAAATAGTTTCCTCTCTAGGTATGTGTATGTGTGTGTTAATACCTATGAACATATCACTGATATTATCTGA